GGAATGCCAGGAAGGAAGGCAATCTGTCAGAGGAGCTTTCCCATGGGATCTCTAAGAGTAGCCAGGACTGAAGCTAGATTTCCTTCTTGGGAAAGAAGGCCTGGGAAGTGCAACATGGGATGGTGTGGAGGGAAGGCAGTTTTGCTATAGCTCTGGGTGTTCTGAATTCAGGAACAAGAGAACTAGGCAGGGATGCCAGTCCTCAGGCCAGCAGAGAGGTGAATCCTCTAGGTATGGTGCCCTGGCCCATTCTCCTTGGACAGTTCTTGTACCTGCATGTGATGGTACAGGTCCTCAGGAGCCTCGCCCATGGAGCTGTCACCCAACATCACCACGTTTCCAGCTTCGCTAGATGTGTGTGAGGAGAGAGAGGATGATGAATGGCGGCCGGTCCCCATCAAGTTCATGGGGCTGTGAACAAGAGTGGGAGATAGGGAGGAGTCAGGTCTGGAGCTGAGACACTTTGCTAGGTGGTGAGGGGGAGAGTCATGGGTGTGTATAAAACAGCCATCCCCAAGCCTTAGCCATCACTGGTTTGGATGGTTCCATAGCCAATGCTCATACCCATCTGAGGCCTGCAGCAGTCCTGAACCCCACCAGAGGCCCCTAGTCTGGGAGGGCCAACGGTAGCTTGGCATAGCCTTGACCTAGAGTTAAATGGTTTATGGCCACTCAGTCTGATGACATCACCAGTGTCGCAGGAGGAATGAGAGATATGCTGAATCAGGTCAAGGATCCCAGGTCCTCCTTGCTATGGGGTGTTTACCTGAGCCAGTACCTACACCCGGATGGGATCTGCTCCTAGGTCAGGGTATCTTCCTGGTTTGGGGAAGCTATCGAAATAGCTGGCTGTGAACCATCTGCTGGCCTCCTTCCATCTCTGTGGCCACAGGCTTGCCAACAGTTCTCTTCTATCAGTTCTAGGCAGCCCCCCATTCATTCATTCCTTCTTATTTGCTGAGTACCCTCTGTGCTGACTTGCTGCTCACATTGGAAAACAAAGCCAAGTGAGGGCTCCTCTCCAGGGTCATCCCCTGGCCTGGGCTTCCTGCCCTGGAGACTTGAAGTCTCCCCAGTGGAGCCCCGGCGACCAGGACTCCTGAGTGCAGAGCAGGGACGCCTTGATGTTCACATCACCATGTTGTCCTCTTCCTTAAAACCAACTGGTGATCCTCATTCACCCTGGGATCAAGTCCAAAGGCCTGAATGAACCAAGCCCATCCAGAGCTGGTCCTGGCCCTCTTCCATGCCCTGGAATCCTGCATTCCAGCCACTTGGCTCTCTCTGTAGTGCTGAGCAGACTGGCTTGCTCATATCTTGAGGTGTCTGCACATGTTAGTGAGTTTGCCCGGATCTTGCTCCATCACCTTCCTAACACCAACTCTTTTCTGCCCAGCAAACTTCTACTTACCCTTCAAGACTTACCCCAAATGCCCCCTCCTCCGTGTTCCCACAATACCATGTATACTCCTCTGTCACCCAGGATTACTGGATGCAGAGTGTAGATCCTGTAGCAGGAGCTGTGTGTTTGCTGTGCACATGGGTAAGAGGGCATGTGTGTACACACAAGCACTATTTTGGACTTCCTTGCTCTGATCTTTGACATTCAGACTTACCTTTGTGGAGGGGACCCTCCTCAGCCCTAAAGCCATACCTGTGCCGGTGGGTCATCTTGATGTTCTCTGGGCTCATGGGGCTATGGGATGCTAGGACATTTCCCCGTGGGGTGCTGGTGCCTGAACATGCAGGACTTAGCTTGTCCAAACCCGGAAACTCCTGTTGAGAAACGAATGCCCCTTCATAATAAATAATTAAGAATAAAAAAGTAATTAAGAGGTGAGAGGGAAAAGCAGGCTGGTGGCAGGAATGTAAATGAAAAAAAAATCATATACTGTTGGCTGAACCTGAACTACTACTGGCTTCTTTTGGGCAGTGACCCTCTTCACGACCAAAGCACCCTCCTAACCACACCACAGCCTGGGGAAGAGGCTGTGAGGCCTAGGTCAACCCACTAAGAGCACATCTGGAGTAGGCTGAGGTTAGTCTGAGTTCACAAGAGTGTGTTAACAGGCATTTATCACTATAGAAAAAGTAGAACAAGAGCTGGGAAACAGGAGAGGAAGAGCTGATTATCATCTGTCAGACAGTGGACACCTCTTACATAAGAACTGGAGTTGGGTTTTATTGGATTGCTAAATGGCCCAGCTCTCAGTGACCTGGGTTAAGTTGTCTGTGACACAGTCTATGGGGAGACAGGACACAAAATCCTGATGCAAGTAATTAGAAAACAGTACAGTTCTATTTTTGCATAATTAAGTATGTAGACATCTTGGCAGAAACTTTTGATCCCAAATCCTCCTGGGTGACAGCACATTGGTTTGAGTCCCTATTTGTGAGGAAACAAAGCACAACTGTCCAGGTTTCCTGAAGTCCTTCACAGTCTGTGGGCCTTAGGTGCACTGGGGATGTTTCTGAGCTTGTCCTGAAGAAGCAGGAGGTTTTCCACTCCCTTCTTCCAAAGCAAGCAGAAGGCTGAAATGTGCTTCTGCAGCTGGAGAGGACACCTCCATGTATGCCCTGGAGACCCTGAGGTATGTGGGTGAGCATTTTGTGCCTTTTCCTGCAGTGACCTGACAGCCTGCATGCTAGAGAGCTCCCCCAGTGGCCAGGCTCTAGCTTGCCTGGGTCACCTGCTGTGATGGGGAAGTTCACACACAGAGAGACCAGAAGTTTGTGCTCAATACCACCTGAAGCCTACTCTCAGCCAGACAGCATTCCCTGTAAGACCCCTGGAGGGAAACTAGCCCCGGAATACAGGCCCTGCTTCTGCGCATCAGTCCTTGGGTCAAGCCCTGCCATGGAGACCTAGGAGGCAGGTCAGAGTCAGGGAGATCTTCTGGGGCCTGGGCCAGCCCCAGAACCTGCCTGACCCTTCTAAGAGAGGCCAGTACAAAAGTACTGCCCAGCCTAGGCTTTCTCAGATGTGAGCCTGGGTCATCAGACATGATGGAGGAAGAGGGAGGGAAGGGAGGCAGGGGGTTAAAGAGGAAGGGGAAAGAGAGGGGAAAGAGGGAGAGGGAGGAGAGAAGACTGGCTCAGGCTATGCCTTACCTCTGTAGGTTCTTGGGATGAAAAATATCTCCAAAGAGATCCCTGCATGTGGGCCGTAAACTTTTCCTCCTCATATGAAAACCTCTCTTCACCAGCACAGTGCATTCAAGGACATTCTCTGTCCTTGAATATGACTCCTTCTTAGGGAGGAAGTGAATAAGAGGATACTGGGTGTCCTTCCCCTGGCTAGAGCACCCACCTCTGCCTCCTGCTATCCTGGGGTGGGAACAGCTTTTCCTTCACGTTCGCCTCTCCAGCCCCTCTTCCCACCCCACTTCCTTTGGCTTGCTGCACAGGTCTGGAGGAAGTGACACCTGGTGATACTGCAGCAGGAACAGGACAGGGATCAGCTTACGTGGTAGAGACTGGCCCGCATCATCTGGAACTGATCAATCAGCTTCTTATGCAGAGGGCGCATTTCTGGGTGCACGAACTTCTCATGAACTGCCAGCCCGACTCCAAGAACATGAACCTATTAGGGTGATAGACAACACTACTCCGTTAGCCAAGGAGCAGACCTTGGGTGCTGCAGCTATCCAGCTATCGTGTGGTGCCTAGCCTTTCCTCCTAGACACTGGCCTCCAACCCTGGCAAGACATACCTGCTCTTGCATGAGTTCCTTGAGCTGAGTGATCTTCTCAGCATCTCCTGGGTGCTTGGTGATGTAATCTTTATCAAAGAAGGCCTGTGAAAGAAAAGGCCAAGTCAGGAAGACTCTTCCCAGGGCTACTACTAAGAGTCTGAAGGTGCCACCTGAAAGGTAGCCGGTCTGCCTCCTAGCAGGTACACACACCAACGTACCTCTAGCTTGGCCTGCTTGAACCTCCAGCAATCACAGATGTGTTTTTTTGTGTCTTAAGAAGGACCAAAGGTGACCAAGTAATCTAAGCCTGAATGCTGGTCTCAGCCCCTCATGGAGCCTTGCTGGCTTGGGTAGGGCAGGCAGGGCTGGTGGCCAGGGTGAGGGGACTAGTCTCTTAGCGAGCCCACAACTCACTTCTCGTGAAGGGCTGGGCTCTCAGGCTCCTCTTGGAGGCCACTTAATATCCTTCCATCATCAGATGGATTACCCATCTGTCAGAGTTCAGAGAATAAAAAGGAAGAAAAGGCCCCATCAGAGAGGGGGAACAATGGAAACAGGGAGTGGCAGGGAGCTTAAAGCTTCATCCCAGGACCATCCTTGGTCAGCTGAGGCACAGCCAGGAGAGGGCTTGTTGAGAAGGCTTCCCTCAGAGGCTGGAATCTCAAGGAGAGGCGCCTGAGAACTGCTTTCCCAGCCAGGGTTTAGTCTGGGACCCCAGCTCACCTCTTGGTAGCGTGCAATGCCTCCGTTGACAGCGGCGTCAATGACGCCATTCAGGCACATGCTGAGCAGGTTGATGTTGCCATGCACCTGCTTGTGCTGATACTGGCTGATCAGGGCCCGCAGCTCCTGGTTCTTATTCTCAACCACTTGGATGGCATTCTCCAGGGGGCTCACCTCCACCTGGGGGCACACAGCAATGGTGTCATCCCAGGCACAATGTCAACCCCTCCCTCATCACAGTCCTGACAGCAGGGATCTGTGACCTGTGATTCTGATTCCCCGCCCTTGTTCCTGTGGAGTTGGGACTCCCTGAGCCCTTTCTAATTTCCTCTTCTAATCTGTAGGCACTTAGAAGTACAGTAAATAGAGAAGAGCACCAGTTCTGAAGTCAGAGGTCTCTGGCTTCCTGAACTTCAGAGAATAGTTTCTGCATTCATAAATTGTGAGAAAAAAAAATAACTGGTGCCTAAGGGTGTTGTGAATACTAAATGAGAGAACGAAGGTGCACAAAGCCTCCAGCAAAGGACTGCCTGTAGCAGCCTAGGCCAGGTAGGTGGCCTAAGCACTCTTTCTCTCTCTTCAGTCCTTAGAGAAAGGCCCCCAAAGCAAGAACTGAGGAAGCAGCTGTGAAAATGAGCCCCATCTGAAATGTGTCTCACCAGCTCCCTCCTCTCCACTTCGAACCACCGAGAGATGCCAGGCAAGCTGTGGGTCAGGGTCAGCGTGGTACGCTCGATCCACAGGCTCTGCAGGGAAGGCACAGGTAGGTTTAGGCCATTAAGTGATTTTTACCATGCCCTCCCTGCCCGAAGGGTGAGACACTGATGAGCTCCTGAGAATGTGGGGCTTGCCCCGGCCTCGCTATAAGCACTGCCCCCACTTCCCTAGATTTGTTCACCTTGAATTCATTCTCCTTGTCCTTGGGGCCTTTGTGAAAAGGCCTGTCGTACCGGAACTTCCTCACATTGTTGACGCGGTAGAAGCTCTTGACGCGATCTGGGACCCTGTCCATCTGCAGGACGTCCACATAATCTGGAATGGGCGTCACTGCATAGATCTGCAAGTCTGGGCAGGAAGTGAAGGAGAAACCCAGAGAGACTGAAAGAGAGATGGACCTGAGTGGCTGACCCCTGTCATCCCCCCAAAGGAGAGAGGAACACCACAGCCCTGTTCCCTACTGGCAGCAGCAGCATTTCAAGAGGCAGATCAGACCCAAACACAGACTGAATCTCCCTATCTGCCCCTCTCCCTGCTCCAGCAGTCAGTCTCCTGAGCACTCAGCCAAGGTGAGATGTCAACAGCTAGGTGTTCTCCAGTGCCCCTTTAAGAAAGAAGGGAAAGGGGTCAGGAGAATGCAGGTGCCCACCCCACAGAAATGAAAAAGCTGCAAGAGCCTGGGTCTGCCCACTGTGGGTAAACTATATTTACTGCAAAACAACATTTTAACAAAGTACTCTTTGGGATCTCTGTGGCGAGATAACATATGGGAGTCTACCTGCCCTCCTCTCTCTGGAACAAGCTTGCTACAGTCATGGCAACCGTCATGAGGTGTTCAAGGAAGCTGTGTGTGGGGAATGAGGGGCAGGCCAGTGTTTGCATTCAGACTTCCAAGTGCCTCAGACCCCCTGTCTCCTCCCCCATCCCCAGAGCTGCGCCTCCGTCCTGCTGGCAAAGGCTGTGGGTAACAACAGATGCACGTGGGAGTAGAGCAGGACACAGAAGTGGAGTATCCCTGCAGCAAGAGTCCACAGTGATTGCTGAGGCAGACCCTTCATATGGCAGGGTGGGAACTCAGGTGCTGGCAGCAGCCAACCAGAGGGATAAAGGTCCCCCTGAAGCTCAGCTGATGACCAGGCCCCCATGGCTAAGGGCATGCCACGGCCCCTCTGTGAAGCACGAGTGCCCTGCTAAGTGTCAGTCAGTAATGAGAACACACTCTGCTTCAGGACTTACAGGTAACCTGGCCTGTATGGCCAAGGACATGGCAGAGGGGTAGCTGACTGGGTGGGCCTCACCTCCCAGGATCCCAGCCCTCCTTCCCCTACTAAGTGTCAAAAGATACACTGGGCATCACACTGCAGGATGGTGTCGTCTGGGTGGTTGGGGTGCTGCATGGCGACAGCCTGTGGGAACTCACTGAGCATCCTCTGCTGGAAGGCCTCCAGCCTCTCGTAGTCGTGGCCACGGCACACATATTCTTTGTTCTGCCACAAATGGGAGAGCACACTCAATGCCTCGCCTGCTGCCACCCATCCCCTGCATCCTCATCCCACAGACGTGTCTTAGGAACCCCTGTGGTAGGCATGGACACAGCACTAAGTCTCTGCCTTAAGGGAAATGATGGTCAAGAAGGGTAAGGGACGGCAGAAGGGAGAACTGCACTGTGGTGTGACAGCCCGGGGTGGGAGGTACGGCAAAGGCTGCAGGAAGCTTGAGGGAGGGAGGGCTCCTCACACAGGAAGGGATGCAAGTGGGGAGGCGGGGTGAGATTTTGGAAATAGCCATGCCTGAAAAGAATCCTTGGAAGGTCCACCTGGGTTAGCGCAGTAGAGATGAGTGGGGGGCAATCTATGTGGGTACAATGACAACCAGGGCCACAAGCCAAGACAGGAAAAGGCACAGCTAGAAGGAAGGTGCTTGTGGAGAACTGGTGGGAGGGTGACTGAACATGCCTGCAGGTGTGTGCCAAGGAGTATCACTATGGGTGCCACCAAATAATTTAGAAAAGGGGGTGATCAGGTGTGTGCTTTCGTAGGATCACTTTTTTTTTTTTTTTTTT